GAAAACGGGGACCAAATCCTTCTCTGCGGCTCTAAATGGCCAACCAGCGCCCAGTCGGGAGATGTGCGGCTGTTCATCCGGGGGGAACATGTCTAGCTCGGGTCCACAGCACCGAGAGCGATCGCGCTGCCGGCAATGTCGCCGTCGCGGTCTCTCCACGGTCGCAAGGCACTCTATCGCCCCCCCCCCCCCCCCCCGAAGTTTACCGATGTCACCAGCGGTGGTCTCAGGCTGAAACTCTGATGGAGCGAAGGAAACTAGCGAGAATGTCGAGCTTGCTTTGCTTCGATGCCTGCCTGCGACGATCCCACGACGGTCGGTGTGGAGCAGGCTTGTGGTCGATTCGGCTCAGAGTTATGATCCAATCAAGAATTACTCAAATTTTCCATGAATCAAGTTGGATTTGATTCGCAGGCTTCTGGACTCATCCGGCACAAGATCTGATTACATTACAATGTCACTGTTACCGTCCTTAGCCCAAGTGACGGCTGGGTTCTCGTCTGTTCTTCTCGCGGCCGAGTTCTCGTCTGTCGTTCTCACGGCTAAATACGCGTGTGTTGTCCTCACGAATGAATTCTCGTGTTTTCGCAGCGCATTGATCAGGCCACAAAGATGCGACGAGCCGCTGTTGACCTACGCCAGCCGCCCACACCGAGTCCGTACAACTGACCTGTGTAGATAAGAGCCGTGCTCGCATCGAGGTCAGGCCAGCAGGACCCTTGATGACACGCGCACATCCTTCGAAACGAGGCTGATGCGGAACGGCTCCGACGTGCCAGCCGTCCGCCCCATGGGGCGTTGGCTGATACACTGCGGACCCCCATGCAGACGTGTCTCCGTAACGCGCGTATTGCCTCTGCTACAACCGTGCAGTATCCGTGCGCGGGCAAAGGCAAAAGTTCCTTGGCTGTGTATTACGCTTCATAACGTGACGATCACAGGTTTTAACATTAGACCAGCTAAATATAGGCAGCCGTTGCCAACTGTCCTCGGAGGTAATCTATGGCGCACACAGGGTGAGACCATCGGATGAGATTGATCCACTCCGGGCTTCCATGTAGTGTGTGTGTGTGTGTGTGTGTGTGTGTGTGTGTGTGTGTGTGTGTGTGTGTGTGTGTGTGGTGTGTGGTGTGTGTGTGGTGTGTGTGTGTGTGTGTGTGTGTGTGTGTGTGTGTGTGTGGTGGTGGTGCTGTGTGGTGTGTGTGTGTGGTGTGTGTGTGTGTGTGTGTGTGTGTGTGTGTGTGTGTTGTGGTGTGTGGTGTGTGTGTGTGTGTGTGTGTGTGGTGTGTGTGTGTGTCTGTCGTGTGTGTGGGTGTGTCTGTGTGCCTGTGTGTGTCTGTGTGCCTGTGTCTGTCTGTGTGTCTGTGATGCTGTTCACGTCCATGGGCCCCTCGGCCCAAAGTTAAGATGGCATGAGTCTCCCACGGAGGCACTAAGGGAACGTGGTTTCCTTGTATCTCCGATTAAAACGTATGAAAAACCCTACCGATCGCCACCATGTCTGTCGCTTATCACGCTCCGGTCCAATACCATGCTCGAAGGAGAAGGGAGAAATGTCATCATGGCTCCACAGTCTTTGGTGAGAGAACCAACCTATCGGAAGCATGCTTCCCAATTGATCGCAGCAAGACGGATGAATTGCGTGGCGGCAGCATCGGGTTTGTCCACTCACGTGGCAAACAAAGATTGCCAAGTACTCGTCTGGTCCTTGAGGCGACGGCGGCTGCCGAGTGGGTGGAGGCCGGCCCCTTACCACAGGAACATCGCTGTGTCGACATAGCCCACATCAACCCACAGAGAATAAGATACGATCACAAGCAGTGTCGACATTCAGTATTGACACATCGTTAGGTTGACATCAAGTCGACCTTAGGCGTTCACGAACTACAGGAGTACACACGTTAAGTACTTCAGTTGTGAAGCAAGCACAGATTTCTTGGCGTGAGTGATCTTTGTTGAACAGAGCCCTATGAACTGGCCGACGTGTTGACGCAGTCTTGCACGGGATGAGTTAAGAATGATTTGTTGACGGAGTCTTTCACAGGATGACTCAAGAACAATGTGCTGACAGTCTTTCACGAGATGAGTTAAGACCGTTGTATAAACGTTCGTGCAAACGTGCAACGAGCAAAACAGCGGACAAAGCCATTCAAAACAGGTCCACCAACCTACATGAAGACCGGGGACGAGCCCCTCAGTCAGCCAGTCAGGCCGCGACGCATCGCGCGAAAGACGGCGCGTTCACCCCGAAAAGCGACCTGTGTCTAAAAGCCCAAAGCCCAGCTCTGCGGCGCCTCCCGGACGCCCGCGACCGAGCCGCCGGCCGACGGGCAGCCGGCGGCGGGCGTCCGTCGGTCGCGGGCGGGGGCGCCGCCCGACGCCGTCGCCGTCACTCCTCGCCGCCTCTGGAGACGGTGCTGTAGTCGGGCCGGTTACCAATCAGCGGCGCGTCAGTCTGAAACGGGACGCCACACTCAGTCGGGCCGGCGTCTGTTGCTGCGGCACGCACGTACACAAACTCTGCAGCTGGAAAACTCACAGCAGCACACACGCACAGCTGGAGCTAGGCAACTGGCCACAGTCCGCGCCGGCAGCTGGAGCTGGTACGCCTCTCGCTGCGGAACAAGAACGGCACAGACTCGGATTGGACGAGGTCAACAGGACAATACAAGGGATGTCATTCCCGGTACCTTTGTCAGCGCCGAGGTCCTGGGATTCTCAGGTTTTCAATTGCGGGATCCTTCGAACTTGGAACGAAACTATTCATATGATGCGTTCACGAATATTTATACCATTACCAGAACTATAAAACTCCATTAAGTGAAACCGAACCATCCGTTCCCAAATATCCCAACGATTGTTGCAGTAGCACATGTTTAGGAACCACTATGCTGGAGTTGTAATTTCCACACTTCTTTGGGCAGCGTGACTGACAAGACGGAGATAGTTCTGTAACTGTCGAACAATCGGAAGAATGTCATTTCTAGGCCATCACGCTGACTTCAACGCTTCTAACGTGTTTGGATCAACCTTTTTTCCAATCGCAGTTGTCGCGGCCGTTTTAATCAGGAGGAACAAGATTGCGCCTCCAACTCCTGCAAGCCCCGAACAAAAAAGTCACGGGTTATCCCAGCGAAGTCTGTCGAGCTGCGCATGCGCAGTTTCCTTCTCTTCTTCCTTCTTTCCTTCCTTCCCTTCTGAAGCCGCTTGTAGTGTCTGTAGATAGTTCTTAAGAACTGCGGTAATTAAGAGCTCCTTTCTGAACAGCAATCCAGCGGAATACTACACCATTTTCGAAAATCGGTGCCGCGAAGTTGGCAAAGTGCCAGAGACTCAGAGCCACGCAGTCCCGGGATTCCCGGATTTCGATCAAAGGAATGCCAGCCCTCGCCAGAACTCAGTACACTCACGGACACGCTTTACAGCACACAGGTATAATTCCCTTGTTTCGGGGCGGATGGTGTGACGTGGTCATCCGTCGACGACACACACACATACGCAGAACCGCGGTCTGTGCCGGTCCACACAATGTCTGATTATACGCCAGCAGCCGCGCGCTCCCGAGTGACTAGCCTGACCTTCGCCGGCGCCGGGGTACATAGGGCCTTTTTTCGGAGGTATCCTCCATTCTGTTTTCGGGGCTAACATTCGGCTAGCCCCCAAACACTTTATGCCACGAATTAATGGAAAATAATGTTAATGGCGATGTAATCGCCAATCGTCATTTGAAGTCAGGTTCACGCCAGGGCAGTCTTCAAACTTGTTCAAAACATTGCCAATGAATAGAAAGAATTAGTATTAAGTAGAAACAAACAGTGTCTGATGGAAATTGATTTTTGTTGACAGTGGAAGTATTCACGGGGCATGAATACTTCCGTCATATCTCAAGATCAGAAGTCCAGGGTGCTCAAGAACAAGGTTACTTGCGGTCACAGATGGCCTAAGCTGACCTCATATTATCATTAGGAAACCTGTGGCAATGGCGACGTACTTTGACCTTTGCCAGGCTTACTATGCGGTTACAGGCAAAGTTAAAAAGATATACGAAAAACGTCGCTTCATCTCATTTGACCAGACCTGACCAGTGAACCAAAAGAGGAACTTGAGGATGGACTGAGTGACGACCGTAGATTTATGTACAGGGTCATCGCCTACAGCGCGTCGGGTCGTGCAGCCGGCCGAGGGTCATCACCGTACCGCTCATGCCGTCGAAGGCAGAACAATAACAAATGTGGAAGAGGTTAAACTCGTCACATCTGTCAACACAATACTTGGCTGTCGCGATGGCGGCTGCCGCCCTGCCCGTCACAACACCTAGCTTTTGCACTCAACAATAACTGGGTTCATATTCATTAAATAATAACTCGTCACATCTGCCAACCAAATACTTGGCTGTCGTGATGGCGGCTGTCGCCCTGGCTGTCACAATACCTAGCTTTTGTATTCAAGGATAACTGGGTTCATATTCAAACACCGAAACCTTTCATGTCACAACCGCTTCATATACTCCGAGGCTGGTTTACCTGATAAGCAGCAACGACGAAACGGTTCATGAAGCGTGAAGCGCGTAAGGCCAAACAATGCTCACATGCCTAAGGGTGGGTTTCCATTTCAAAACGGCAGCCTTACTATGAATGCAGTGCCGAGCATCGGTGCATCAACACATTGTTTGAGTACATCCTCTGAATAGCAAAGTCGGTGTTGCCAGTGCAGACAGTACAACAGAACAGTCACTTACTCAATCGACTTCCCCACATTGTATTTCTCCTCCCACGATCAGACCAAAACACCGGCGCCCAAATGTGTTTTACGATGCGTCTCCGCCTGGGGATGATAGATGCCTCTACAGCACACGTTCAATCGTCACAACTAGCGCGGCACGGGTCCTACGAGCCGGAGGAGCCGGGGCTGCAGCCGCGCCGCCAGCCCAATGCAACAAACATTTGAGAGCCACTGGTATTTGGCGGCTCCGAGCCTCTGTATATACACCCCAGGCGGCTATTGGCGGGTTTGACACATACTTGAGATAAGCGGCAGGCTGGTAGCCAGCCTTGCGCTGTGAATGAGCAGTTGGGCTGGTGGTCAGCAGAGTCCAGCCCAGACACGCTGTAAATGAGTCGCTGCGCTGGTGGTCAGCAGAGTCCAGCCCAGACACGCTGTAAATGAGTCGCTGCACTGGTGGTCAGCAGAGTCCAGCACAGACGCGCTGTACATGAGTCGCTGCGCTGGTGGTCAGCAGAGCCCAGCCCAGACACGCTGTAAGTGAGTAGCTGGGCTGGTGGTCAGCAGAGCCCAGCCCAGACACGCTGTAAATGAGTCGCTGCGCTGGTGGTCAGCAGAGCCCAGCCCAGACACGCTGTAAATTAGTCGCTGCGCTGGTGATTAGCAGTTACAAATAATAAATAACGACAATATTTCCACCCATCACAAAAAATGACGATAACAAACCGGACTAGTACTCTGAAACTATGGAGCACCAGCGAAATTCAACAGTAACTGAGCCATCCTTACCACCGAGATGTCCATCTACCAATCGACTATCCGTTTCGAATCACCTTCTGTGGGGCTCAACTTCCGCATGCTAATGGTAACGGTAAGCGCTGGCGCCTGAGAACTCATCCAAGCGTCCAGTTCAAGGCGTGAGACCACCAGTGGAATGATGTCAGCATGTGTCAACTATGTCAGCACACATCCTCACACACCTCACGGGTGTGTCCACGCCCCGAAGGCTCCGACAGAGGCCGGGCACCGCCAGTGCACACCTGGTGCCCAGGCTCTGGGCACAGGGCTCAACAGCCCGACGAGTGTGGCGGCTGGCGCCGCCCGGCCGGCCCTATGTTCCTCCTGGTCCCTAGGTCCATGTCGGTGACCGCGGACGACACCGCGGCAGCAGAACCGGGGCGACGCACGGAGGGGGGGGGGGGGGGCTGGTCGGCCGGCGGAGCAGGAAGGGTTCGGGCAGAGCGACGACAGGCACGAGAGCGGGAGAGGTGCCCGGATACGGACGCGAGAGAGAGACCCGGAGACGGACGGGGTCGACAGCCGGCCGGCCGGGTCAGCGGCGGCCGTTGCGGGCTGCCGAGGGGGAGCGGCCGGCGGCCTGCAGCAGCGGCGCGCCGGCAGTGTATTTACACAGGCGGCGGCCGGCTGATGACCATACCAGGCCGCCGGCACACCGGCATCGAATTGGCCACGCTGCGGCCCGGGCAGCCCGGACAGCCCGGCCGGCTCGCCAGTCGCACACACCGAGCAGACACCGGTCACGAAGCAGCACGGCCACCCCAGCGTCACGGGACCGGGGCGGGGCCGAAAAAAAACAACTGAAAGGGCGCCGCGCTTTCTGTGGTTAAGGTGGCCTAACCCAGAGTCCTCCAAGAAACATGTAATATCTCAGCCTTTCGTGTCTTGAACACAATTCAACGGCTTGAACACCGCACGCCTCACAACTCCGCTAAAACTGCGTGCAAAGCCCCGGTTTAGCGGGGCGCGGGGTTAACAGTGGCACGCGTGAGACGGCCAACACGTTACCGCCGAGCACGCCGCCTCCGGCACGCCGAGGTCCGTCGAGAGCAGCGCGGGGGAGGGGGCGCTGGCGGCGACGGCCGGTCGGTCCGCGATCCCGTCCGGTCGCGGGGACGCGTCCAGTGTGAGAGGACGGGGCCGCCGCGGGTAAGGACGGTGGACGCGCCACCGGACACAGCGCAGGCCACCGCCCCGAACGGCCGGCTACGACCGCACCCGCGCCGGATCGAGCCCGCCCCGCCCGTGCGGCAGACGCGGACCAACGTCCCGTGCCATGTTCGCGCACCCCCTGATGCAGATGCATGATGGATCCTCAGCAAATTATTTGCAGGAATTTGTAGCGCTGTGTCGGAACGATTGCGTATTTTGCACTTCATTATCATAACACGCCGGGCGATTTGACAAAGAACTGGCCTGGTTTCTGATTCTCGGAAACTGGCTTCCGACATCGAAACCCGACCTCCGAACGACTGACACAGAAACCTGGCTTCAGAACAGACCATTGTACGGCGTGCGCGGTGCTGGCGCACTGCACTCTGTCACGCTGCAGCGCTGTTCCGCACAGCATGCTGTTGGGTTGCTGCGAAAGTCATGCTGCTGGTGCACTGTTCGGTATGCCATGCTATTGGGGCACTGTACGGTATGGCATGCTATTGGAGCACTGTACGGTAAGTCATGGTGTTGGCGCACTGTACACCGCGTCATACTGTTGACGTGCTGTGCCGTACGTCATGTTGTTGGAGTACCGTGCCGCATTGCCGCGGCATCAGTCGCCCTGTTGGTGCCATGCACGGTATGCTATGGTGTTAAAGCAATGCATGATTTGCGAAATTTTGGCGCACTGCACAATCTGTGTTGTGCTACTGCCGTGCCGAACGCTATGTCGTGTTGTTGGTGTTGCACAGTGTCGCGGTTGGTCGTACTGCGCAGCGT